GTTTAATTTATAGATAATTAAAGTATAAACTTGAGTAACATTAACACTTAAGTGAAAGGTTATTCTAATGGAGGTAATGAATATAAATTAATAGTGTATGTTTTGTAACAATGGTAATATATACTTTAATATAAATACATATGTATTTCGTATATATACTATATCATGTTACAACAGGACCCTGTCATTAATTAGAAAAATTACTATTTTATTTGTATGGTGTTAAAATTAAAAAAACCCGATAATGGTAATTGCTTTATAATACGGAACAAAATAATTATCTAATAAGATACAAAAATTACACAATGGATATATGATAAACTTTCTTTAACTTTCTTGACAAATTGAAAATATTAATAAAATAGTAAACAGTCGAAATAACAATGTTACATAATTATGATTAACTTTAATATTGAATAATTATATAACAATATGAAAAACTATTTAAGCTTTTGCAAACTTCATAAAATAAAAATGAAAAAAAGAAAGAAATTTTACAAAAGTTTAGGAATAGTTTTTAAAATGTATCAATTATTTGTCAATTTTTAATTTTAATGAAACCATTGCAATATATTCACAATGCTTATTTATTTATACACACGCATACGCGGGCGTGCACCCGTATGTATGCATGCAATATTTTGTATACTATGTGCATCGTAATAATTATTTTATGCTCAATTAACAGATATTATTAAAGTACTGAATATATCATGTGATATTTAGATGAGGAAGATAATGTTATACCTCCACCAACTACAGGAAATGTTAATGAAAATTTAACAGACAACATAACCATACATGTTTATAAAGAAAATAGTACAGGTGGACACTGGTGTGCACGAATTATATTTTTTGTTGTCTTAGCATTGCTTGTTGGTTTAATTGGTGTAGTTATCTTTGAACACAGAGGTACCACAGATAGTAAGTGAATTTTATATATATTTTTAGTAAATATCTCATTGTACTCAATGATTTATTTGTGTGCTATATATTTCATGTTATAAGTTAATACACCATTAAAGTCATCTCGTTGGGCCTTCATTTTTGATGGATGGGTAGATGATTCATTTCTACTGTCCGATGAAGAATCACATGGTAATGAACCTGAAGAACATGAAACACATGATGAAACTGAAGAGATAGAAAGAGATGGAAATAAGCTTGATGAAACAACAGAATTGGAAATTATAGAAACCAAAGTTTCTACTGAAGAAGAAACTGAGGAAGAAAATGAAATATCAAATGAATATACAGGACAACAAGAGAAAACAATAATTGAAAATGAATTAAATGAAGAGGAAAGTGAACTTTTCCAAAGTGAAGAAGGTATTAAAGTGTAAAACATTGCAGTATAACAATAAATACAAATTTAATATCTTCTCTTAATTTCTAAATTTAATAAATCATTTCAATTCAGAAATAAACTATGAAAAAAAGCATGAAGATAGAAAGCAAAAGGAAGATATATTAATGGATGAGGACATTAGTCTACAAGACTTTAATGATATTGATGTATTAGAAGAAATATATGGCACTAGTAAAGAAAAAAACTCAGATGAAAAAAATGTATTGGATGAAACAGACAATCAGTTTGATGAAATATTACAAATACCATCAAATGAAGAGATATTTGAAAAATTTGTAAACATTCCTGGTGTTAATGAAATTAATGACAATGTAGAACCTTTAGAAGAGGTAAAATTAATATAATTAGAAGTTACTATCAAAGAAATAATTTGCAAAATACCTTCTCTGTTAGAAACAATATGAAA